TTGAGAATTTTTTATCGTTCGAATCGAATAAATGTAGAATTGAGATAAACTTCAAATCTATGAAAAATTAGCAGCAGATTTAGTATCGATGAAAACTTTTAGCCGGTAGTGTATATCAATTTTATAGATCACGAACGACACAAAAATAGGAGACAGCGTAGCATTAATAAAATTCCACAATTTTTCTATATTATTTAGATATTCTATAAAATACCTAAAAGCCTCGTGATTTGCAATAAAATTCTTTTTCGAACATTGCTTGCTATTGTTGACATTGTTAACGAGCCTCGTAAACTGTGCTATAGTATCGATAAACGTATCACATGAATATTTCATAGATTATGAACGACCCGAAACTATAATAGAATACGGAATTTACTGGATAAAACGGTGACTCCATCAGGGAGGTTCTATGATACGCATCGACTCGTATTTGGCGCCGTATTAGGAAAGTACTAGTTAAGAAAGGCGGTCACACTAGTGCTTCTAATCGGAGAAAAAAAAAGAAAAGATACAGTCGACACTCCACGAATTGTCAGTTTGTGAAAAACTGGAGCCTATTTCCACTCCAATTTCCACTGGAAAAACAGTCATTCTTCTTACCGATTCTCTAATTTCACGGTGAATTTCAACGTTACCAAAAAAAAGTGTTAAAAACCTGCACAATTTTGACATTCTTTGATCTCAAGCGAAACCGTCGATTTCGTCAATTTTAATTAATCTTTTTCATTTTAATTGAACGTAATAAATCGAAAGCTAAATTAATCTCTAATTTCGATTAAAATTAATTAAAAACGAAACTTAGAATAATTTTGTTCATCGAAGAATAATTAACACTGAATTTTAATTAGCGTGTTGTTAGTTCGAGATTCGATAATTTTCTGTAGTTTAAGGAATGTCTTGTTGATCGAAGATTAATTTTATTGCACGAATCGTTGAGAAAATCATAGAAGCTGCAACAATTTGGAGAAATAGGTAAAACGTTCTGACGATTTAAGTTCCTCGAATTCACTCACCCCTGCTTTGTTAAAGATAAACTATAAAATGTTTTAAGGTTCTTGCAACGTTAGCTAGTTGTACAACGATTCTGGGAACACGCGTTCTATGGTCTTCACGAGTAATCTAGTTAATGGAAAGAACTTTCACCTACTTCGAAATTTGTTAGCTTATCGCGCTACAGATCTGATGAATTATCTTCCGTTGCCCGATTCATGCCGCAGTTTGATCTATGAAACCATGCAGAAAAATGAACGGAGATTTATTGATTGGTCTGCACTTTGTACGCTTCTTTTTTTTAGAAGAAATATGAACTTGAAGTAAAAAGTGGAAAATGTGAAATGTATTTTTCGGTGAAAATTTGTTGTAAGAAAATCGAAAATAAATTTAAAATGGAAAATCAAAAGTGTGAAATGTATTTTTCGGTGAAAATTTGTTGAAGAAATTGAAAGTAGATTTAAAATGGAAAATGAAAAATGGGAAATGTATTTTTTGGTGAAAATCTGTTTAAAAAAATGGAAAATGAACTTAAAATAGAAAATTAAAAGTGTGAAATGTATTTTTCGGTGAAAATCTGTTTAAAAAAATGGAAAATGAACTTGAAATAGAAAATTAAAAGTGTGAAATGTATTTTTCGGTGAAAATCTGTTTAAAAAAATGGAAAATGAACTTGAAATAGAAAATTAAAAGTGTGAAATGTATTTTTTGGTAAAAATTTGTTGAAAGAAAATCGAAAATAAATTTAAAATGGAAAATGAAAAATGGGAAATGTATTTTTCCGTAAAAATTTGTTAAATAAATCGAAAATGAACTTAAAATAGAAAATTAAAAATGGGAAATGTATTTTTCCGTAAAAATTTGTTAAAGAAATCGAAAATAAATTAAAAATGCAAAGTGAACAATGTGAAATGTATTTTTCCGTAAAAATTTGTTAAAGAAATCGAAAATAAATTAAAAATGCAAAGTGAACAATGTGAAATGTATTTTTCCGTAAAAATTTGTTAAAGAAATCGAAAATAAATTTAAAACAGAGAATGAGAAATGTGAAATGTATTTTTTTGTAAAACCTTGATAAAAGAAAATCGATACTATTTATACACTTTAATGATTATAAATTACAATATGTATATAACATGTTACGTACAGGAAATTGACACGATTATCAACATCTTAGTTATTTATGATTCGTAATAGTTGGACGGATGGTTATTAAAATGAATGGTTATTATACAATGCCTCTGAGTTGCAAACGAAGTCACGTAAAGGATACGAAGATAGCTTCGTTCAATTTCAAACGAAAGCGAAAGTTATGCTTTTCTTTCGTTTTATCCTGTAATAGACTAGCTTCTGCTATAATTATCGTGTTCATCGACATAAACGCCTATCCTATTTCACAAACTTCATCAATTTCCATCTTCGTACGAATTGCATTTAAATCGATAATGAAGAAAACTGTAATTTTTTTTTCAATAATATTGATCATCGTTTCATGAAAATTCTTTCCGTTTTAATTGTATTGATCATCGTTTCAAGAAAACTCTTCCGTTTCTAATTATATATACAATATTTTGCAAATAAAAGTGTAACAGTTTAATTAACGCAACGTAATTAAAACTTATTTGCACAAGTGCATATTTATCGCGTCCCAGAAAATGATCTATCAGTGACATCAACGATCTATCTTCATACGATTTCTTCAATGATGCACGGTCAGAACGATCTTAAACAGATGCAGCCTGCACGAATTTGCATTTTCATTTTACAGATGCAAATTATTCGGCGATAAATCTATCCCTGCTAACCGATGCACATTTCATCCATTTCTAATTAATCGAATTCAATAACATCGGTTTAAAATGCTTGTAAAACTTCCAGCTATTTGCAAAATATAAGAAAGAAAGGTGATTTCTAGATACTCGTTGATTCACAATTTTTGCTTCATTTTAACGAGCCGTGTACTCCTGAAGAATTGGACACCTTGTATATAATTTCACCCATCGAAAAGTTGAAAAAATTGTAATAAAAGATAATTAAAATAAGTTTACTATTTTATTTTTGTAATGTAGATAATTGAAAACTGATTAAAAATTACGTAAACCTAATGTTTATGTTATGAGGAACGCTAAATCGAAGATTTAACGGAAAAATTGCTAGGAAAATGTTGAATTAAAATTTCAATTTTACGAAATTCTAAGTTTACGAAATTTCAATTTTACAAAATTTCAGTCTTACGAAATTCTATGTTTACGAAATTTCAATTTTACAAAATTTCAGTCTTACGAAATTCTAAGTTTACGAAATTTCAATTTTACAAAATTTCAGTCTTACGAAATTCTAAGTTTACGAAATTTCAATTTTACAAAATTTCAGTCTTACGAAATTCTAAGTTTACGAAATTTCAATTTTACAAAATTTTCATTTTACGACATTAATTATCAGCTGAGATTCTAAGGCAGAAAAGTGTTAAACTCTAATTTTCATTCCACTAAACTCTCATTTCAAGACATTAGCTATCCGCTGAAATTACACGCCAGAAAGTTTAACCTCGTATGCAAAGGAGCGAGCGTAATTTTTTTGCGCGACCATCCGCCGAAACCGCGGCAAAACGAAAGGCCAAATGTTACGAGTATCCTTTCCCACGTCGCACCAGATGCGAACCTTTTGTACCGAACGAAAGCCGCGTGACTTACACACGCCACGTTCTATCCCGCGACGAGCTGCATCCCTTTAAGGCGAGTCCACGTCGCGGCGGAAACACGCGGCCGCGGACGAAAAAGAAGAATCGCGGGGAACTCCCGATTCTCATTACGTCACGCTCATTCCTTTTGCATAGGTTACGAAAGTAAGGTACAAAGCGAAAATTGAAGCTCCGTTCTCAAATTGCGATTCTTGGAATATTTGAATTTCTAAGGGAAATACTAAAATTTTGAGCGCTTAGCTTTTTTGGAAAAAATTCCTAAGCTCGGGAGATTTTGAAGTGTTTAAATTTTGGCGCGTGAAGAAATTATGAGAGGAAAATTGAAACCTGATCGTGGTGACAAAATTTGTAATACTTGTGAGAGAAATTTGATTTTCCACTCGTGGAAGTCTCCTGAATCGGTATAGCCAATGGTCGACACTAAAGTGTACACGAACACGTTGCAATAAATCGTGTTAATAATGGAACGAAGTGTTGTTTCTTGAGAAGGAAGAAATTTAAAGATATTTAGACAAATAAATTTGCAGGTTCTATCTATGAAACAGGTTACTCCCACCGTCGGTCAATATCATCTTACAGGATGAGTTCCCTTGCCTCGAACAAATTTGATACTTAACCCTTCCTTCCACTTCTTTCAAACAAAATACAATATAAACCAGCAAGAAATTCATCCTATATAAACGAAACACACGTCTGACCAAACCTCTCTTCTCTTATGTCATCCATTTAAACACTATCCTTTTACTCCATCATCCCCAATACAAGAATCACATCTCACAAAGACGTATTACATTATTGATATACTATCCCTAAATGTTCTCCAGTTACCAATGAATGTACACTACCGATAGAAAGTTCAGGAGCTGTATATTAGGACGACGCATGAGTTCGTTAGAAACGTAGAAATGCGTTTTTTACTGTGCCTGTTTGTTAGCATACTTGAATTTAACAGAACTTTGGAAATTTCATAGCCTGCAAAAATATGTGAAATTTTTCACAAAAATATCTGACTTTCGCGAATCAGAAAAGTCACAAATAGTCAAGTTGAGGAGCATAAAACAAGATGGCGTAAAGGTCCCTAATATATTTGAGGGGAACTCCTGAAATTTAGCGAAAAGTATTTGGAAATGTGAAAAAATGGCATCATTTCTAACTTTAATTTTACGTTTCAATTTTCTACCCTTCGACTGGTAAAAAGAGACAAAAGGGACTCTTGCGCCGACCTGATACATACACATCATAACCGCTCGTCCAGGCGAAAGCCAAGAGCCCCTAAGTGCAAAATCACAGACACAGAGCTACTCACTCAACGTTTTATTGATCCAATCTGCGAGGTCCTCCTGCAGCGGCAGCAACTGTCTGCTCTGTGCCGAGTGTAGACGCTCGTGATAGAAGTCTGCGTACTCTTCCTCTTCCGGCGAGGGCCTGGGCACGTCGCTGCGATTGAACACAGTGACCGAGGATGGTCCCCAGCTGCTGCGATAACGGGTGTGCTGCGAAGACGGGAATCGATTGGCGTACGACATCCTGAAGCGGAAAAGAGCCGAGGAGATGTCCCGGTGGCCCGCACCGGCCCCTCTTCAACTTTATCTCGCACGCTTCACTCTCTCACTCTCTCGCTGCTCTTTAATTCCTCCTCCCTCGTTTTTACACAGCTCTACTACGCTGCTCCTCCTCTTTCAGATACGCCGCGGATTACTCGTCCGCGTCCTCTCTCGACTACTGAAGAGTCCCGGCGACGCCGTGCGATGCTGCACGTCTGTCGATTACGAGGCTCTGGAAAGCAGAATTCACCCCTTGAGCGACAGGCTTTAAGAGTACATCCTCTGTAATTAAATTTTCAAAATTCAACTTCTCTTCGGTTCGGACAAATTTCAAATTTTCTTCATCTCCTATTATACCCTCGTGAGAATACTATCGGTAGATAGGTAAGATTCTCCCGTTGAAAATGAGCCCAAACACGACCATATTCGGACTATTTTTCGCTGAAAACGTTATACCGGGTATCTTTCAATTTTCGAACTAAGATTTTCGAAATTGTCCGAAAGTAGTCGTGTTTGGACTCATTTTACAAGTCCCTCGATAATACGTTCAGGGATACATATATCCAACGAAAAGAATCAAAACTTATTCACTGCCATAACTTCGCAATCTCGAATTACTTCTTTTCCATTACGCTAATTCTTCGCATACCGTATTCGAGCCCGTCATACGACCCCAAGGAGGAAAAAATCTCGATGAGATTATGGGAATACTTCCGCGAGACCAAAGTGGAGAGGAGAGATTGCGAAGAGATGGAAAACATAACCGGAAGATGAGCGCACGCGTGTTTCAGGAGACGTAGCCATAAACGGGACAAGATATGAGGAGGCTGCTAGCCGACGTGAGTGACTGGCAGCCAGGAAAACGAGGCTCGAGTGCGTTTTCGGGAATGAATGGGTTTTATGTTACGCGGAGCTGTTTATAGGATGTCGGCCGACAATGTTTCATAATAACCTTGAGAGGGATGAGACTGCAGCTTCTCGACCTCGCGCCGCTGGAAGCTGCGGGCTCGTTAGACGGTTCATCTCGGTATACGTGTATACACTGGATGATGATCGTGCAAGTTACGAGATACAGCGTGTGTGTTCCCTTGATTTCGTTCAATAAAACGGGTATTTTGTTTCTGGTAATGGGTTTTATTTGGTCGTTCGAATGATGGATGGAGGAAAGCCTGTGTACGGGTGGTACAGAAGTACACAGGCTATAACGGGTTTTAAAATAGTTTCTATATATACATTTATTATAGCAATTTCGTTATTCGTGATGAAACAATTCTGTGTTATAAAATAACATTTGTAATCAGATTGCAGTGGTTGTGTACGTTAAATCTACCGTATTCTCATTATCTGCTGCATAATTTTCTGAAATCTGGATATACAAGATGAGTCATAACTTGTCCAAATTTAGGAGAAATGAAGCTTAATACTTATAGAAAAATCACAAATACTAAATCTCATAATCTAAATCGTATAATATTAAATCTCATAATACAAGATGAGCACACGATACGTTCCAAAGTTCCCTGATAAATTTTGAAAAATATTAAAAGATACCAACGATTTTGTCGATTATTCACGTAGCACACAACCTAACCTGCAATTCTTTCACGTTATTATAGGTTAGGTTCGCACGTATTCCATAATCAACTAATTCCTGCAGCCAGAAAACGCAGAAATGTCACGTTTAACCGACGCAGAAATTAACAGGGGATTAAAAAGATCGGCGTAAATTTTCCCAAAGCTCGCACAGTGTCCACAAACCGCCTCTGTAATTTAAACGGCACTCGACGCCGCCATTAGCATTCATCGACAGCCTCCGGGCACGTTTCTCGCACGGAGGCCTCGCGATTTAGCTGAATCGGTGTCGCGTGGGACTGCGGAACGATCGATCGAAGGAAACGGGGGGGAAAACAGGGGAGAGAGAAAAAGAAAATTGGAAAATCCACGTAAATCCTTGGACGCTTCGGACTATCGCCTCGAGTGATGCAAATACATCGGCGAATTGCACACTGATGCAAGTGTAAACATGTACACTATGGAGCCACGAATCGATGAAATGAAAATCCCGATAATCGTGTCGTGTTCGACGAACAAAACCCACGTGTGTCCTTCGACATCGATCTATTAAACGCGCGCCCCCAGCGTAATGCAATCCGTTGTAAACAGGTGACGACGACTCGACCGCGTCTACGAGCAATAATATTCCATCTTTCCGTTTTTTCCTTTTCGATCGGAAACGAAGAGGTGTCCGGTGTCGCTGGCGAAAAACGAAATAAACGTTTTGCAAGAACGAGTGCAAGAGTTGAGTATTATTAACGATATTCGATTAATATGAATTTTCATTGGGAATTAAGTGTTTTCAACAATATTCAATATAAGTATTTTTAAGAATATTCAATTAATTTCAATTAGAAAAGAATGGAGAAAAGTTGATAAGTGGTGAAAACGAAATTTCTATTAAACTAAGTGAAACTGAATTCAGCGCGATTTTCTTTTTATTTATAATTGAATACTTTAAAGTGATGTTTTAACCTCGTTTTTGAATTTTCCCGCGTCGCGAAATGTATTAAATTGAGGATAACATTTAGGAAATGGAAGTTGCAAAGAGACACAGAGTAGGAAATTTCTTCGATCAAGACTCAGAAAAATTTTGCGAAAGATATTCTTTATCTCGTGAACCGGAAAACGTTCGAATGTCATAAGTAACTGTAAGTACAGTATACCGGTTGGTCTATAATTCATCGGACAGTGATACAATGTTACGAAGCAAGAAATTACTTCCTCGACATTTCCAAAAAGAAAAAGAAAAAAATACGTAGGATATCGAGGTGCACTTGGTAATGTGTATTTAGTGGCAAGATAAGGTTGTTGAATAATCGCTATTGGATTCTCTCATGGTTAATGTGGCCGAGTGGGCGGGAAATATAACCTCATACCACCTGATAGAGGTCTTCATAAATCAAACGGCAGCGGTGATCGATTATTACCGCGGACAGCCGGCCAATTAATAGCGTTTTCGCGTTATCGTGACAAATGGAGCGGAGAAGTGAGCATGTCGGCTTCAAGGTGAAGCGACGATGCAACCTGATCAAGACGACGAATTGCTAGAATAGTCCTTTTGCCCGAGATACCGTCTTATTTGTGCTCGTAATGCTTTAGGTGTCGATTTTTTGAGAAGAAATTGTTTCGCACCTTTTGCGTGAGACAAAAATTGATACTAACAGTCAGTTTTCAGTCTTCGCAGCTTTTGAATCTTCGAATTTTCGGATATCCACATTAACAAATTTTCCAGATCACAAATTTTCAAATTTTCCAATTAACGAATCCTCCAGTTTCCAATTTTTCGAATTTTCATATTAACGAATTCTTCAGTTTTCAAATTTTCCATTTTTCAGATTAACGAACGTTTTAGTTTTCAAATTTTCATATTAAGGAATTTTCCAGTTTTCGAATTTTCCAATTTTCACGTTAACGAATATGCCAGTTTTCAAATTTCCGGATTTTCAGATTAACCAATTTTCCAGTTTTCGAATTCCCACGTTAGCGAGTGTTCCAGTTATCAAATTTTCCAATTTTCCGACCAATGAATGTTGTAGTTTTCAAATTTTCATATTAAGGAATTTTCCAGTTTTCCAATTTTCCAATTTTCCGACCAATGAATGCAGTAGTTTTCAAATTTTCATATTAAGGAATTTTCCAGTTTCCAAATTTTAGAATTTTCACGTTAACCAATGCTTCAGTTTCCAAATTTTCATATTAAGGAATTTTCCAGTTTTCGAATTTTCCAATTTTCACGTTAACGAATGTGCCAGTTTTCAAATTTCCGGATTTTCAGATTAACCAATTTTCCAGTTTTCGAATTTCCACGTTAGCGAATGTTCCAGTTTTCAAATTTTCCAATTTTCCGACTAACGAATGTTGCAGTTTTCAAATTTTCATATTAAGCAATTTTCCAGTTTTCAAATTTTCACGTTAACCAATGCTCCAGTTTTCAATTTTCCGAATTTTCAGATTAACCAATTTTCCAGTATCCCAATTGTCACGTTAACGAACGTTGCAGTTTTCAAATTTTCCAATTTTCTTTTTGATACGTACATTTTCGACTACTCGAATTGGAAGAAGTAAAAAGTGAAGGTTTGTTCTCAAATTAACACCTACTGATAACGTTACGCGAATTGCATAATCGTCACCGAAGATAACGGTCTTCAGGTAGCACTCTGAATTAATTCACACACGAGTATATGGATCATAAGGTCATCGATTAATTGTATCCACGATAAATGTTCGATATTTGATAACGTAGAAATCGTACAAGGAACTACTTCATGAATAATAATTCCAGATATACGAAATCTATCATTATCGATAGGATACGTTTCACCGGCGGATAAAAAGATATAAAAACGAAGGTTTATGTAAATGAATGACTTTGAGAATCGTAGATATTCCTGGGTATTGATCATCTCGTAACCCACGTATTTTCGTGACAGTTGTTCGAACTGAATACTTTTCATCTCGATAGAATTTTCAGGCACCTTAAATACAGAATCTTCCAGATATTCAGAAACTCTTTGTATACATTTGCAAATTTTATCCTTCAGAAATAAAAATCTACATCGGTTTGCCTTTAAAGTGCCATTTCACTAAAACTACTATCATCATTATTATTATTAAATCCTTGTAAACTAAACTTAGCGTCTATCTTCAGTAATAGAAATTTTCTTTTTTTTTTTTTAAAGTGTCATTTCACTAAAATTACTATCATTATTATTACTATAAGGTAAAATCCCTATGATACATTAATTACAATATTTACAACCAAACTGTCCGTCTAAGGTGTTCAATTACCATGCTAACAATTCACAAAAACAACAAGTGTTTTTCCAAAAAAAAATGATGAAAGTACAAAAATCAAACAAGCTATCCACGTAACTTTATTTCCCCGTTTCCCATTAAAAGGGAATATTCCACGCATACCTACGTTAAAAAAATGTCCATCTCGAATAACTATAATCCCCCAAAGAAAACACCCACAGCGAGCACAACTGCCGATTCCATTCACCTCGTGTAATCATCGTGGGACAGGAACTGGATTTCTTACGGAACCACTTATCCCTCTCATCCGATATACCTCTCGATGCATAAGTACACGCAATTCCGCATCACCCACGTTGCAATCCAGACGTTCAATAATTTCCACCACGGATCGTTCGAAGAGCCAGGAAAGAATCTAAG